GCAGAAAAACACCCCCAAAGCATAATGTTTCCACCTCCATGTTTGACGGTGGGGATGGTGTTCTTGGGGTCATAGGCAGCATTCCTCCTCTAAGCACGGTGAGTTGAGTTGATGCCAAAGAGCTCCATTTTGGTCTCATCTGACCACAACACTCTCACCCAGTTGTCGTCTAAATCATTCAGATGTTCATTGGCAAACTTCAAACGGGCATGTATATGTGCTTTCTTGAGCAGGGGTACCTTGCGGGCGCTGCAGGATTTCAGTCCTTCACGGCGTAGTGTGTTACCAATTGTTTTCTTGGTGACTATGGTCCCAGCTGCCTTGAGATCATTGACAAGATCCTCCCGTGTAGTTCTGGGCTGATTCTACACCGTTCTCATGATCATTGCAACTCCACGAGGTGAGATCTTGCATGGAGCCCCAGGCCGAGGGAGATTGACAGTTCTTTTGTGTTTCTTCCATTTGCGAATAATCGCACCAACTGTTGCCACCTTCTCACCAAGCTGCTTGGCAATGGTCTTCTAGCCCATTCCAATTTGTGTAGGTCTAGAATCTTGTCCCTGACATCCTTGGAGAGCTCTTTGGTCTTGGCCATGGTGGAGAGTTTGGAATCTGATTGATTGATTGCTTCTGTGGACAGGTGTCTTTTATACACGTAACAAGCTGAGATTAGGAGCACTCCCTTTAAGAGTGTGCGCCTAATCTCAGCTCACTTTAAGAGTGTGCTCCTAATCTCAGCTCGTTACCTGTATAAAAGACACATGGGGGCCAGAAATCTTTCTGATTGAGAGGGGGTCAAATACTTATTTCCCTCATTAAAATGCAAATCAATTTATAACATTTTTTACATGCGTTTTTCTGGATTTTGTTGTTGTTATTCTGTCTCTCACTGTTCAAATAAACCTACCATTAAAATTATAGACTGATTCTTTATTTGTCAGTGGGCAAACGTACAAAATCAGCAGGGGATCAAATACTTTTTTCCCTCACTGTAGTCTCAAAACGGTGTTAGACCAGAGGGCGCCAAAAGACGTCCAACACCGTTTTGAGATTAGGCTCAAAAGAAAGTTATCTCTGGTGTGGACCAATCAGTTTCAAAGACAATGCATATACTGTCAAGAGTACGTTTTTTTGTTTGCATTCTGACCACAAGTATTGTGGTTAATGCAGACATGATTCCTTGTAAAAGGTTTCAGTTTGGTGTTTTAACACCTTAACACAGCTGTTTTGTTGCCAGAAAAAAGGGGAAAACCTATTGTCAAATTTTGGTACTGGCAAAGGAGGTCCCATGATCACAAATAATATTTCAACAACATTTTCACGATTAGGAAAACGCTCCGCGGGAATTTACCCAGGTTATATCTCATCGTGCGCGCATGTCCAGCTCCCGATGTGTTTCATAACAGTTCCCAGAAAAGTCTTGCCGAGATATTGTGGGGTTTTTTTTTACGCTAAAACAAATTCCATGTTCGCAGGTTTCGTCGAGTCCCACTTCCGAAGGGTGGAGCAAAGTTCCATGTAAACCTCGGCAGTAAGTGGAACTCGGTCACATTTAATTTTAAGGAGAGAAAATATGTAAAAAAAATGAAATGAAATGTCATGAACACAGACCAATCCTTGAGAATGTACTGAATGAGGTTCTTGTTGTAAATTATCTGTACGCTTCAGCTGTACGTGGTATCATGACCACACTGCAGACATATCTGCTTCATGGGCTGCTAATGACGATTGCGTGGCTTGAGAAAGACTTTGATTCGTTTTGGTTTTGATTTGTAAAAAATGAGTGTTTAATGTGGTATGCAAAGATTTGTGTTATTGCATTCGGTGGTAACAATCGTACAATGTCTATATCTGGCAAAATTATACGAATTGTACAAACAAATGTGAATTGTATAACATCCATTTTAGACACATATGCAATGAAGAAGGGCCTTTACCCGAAACGTAGCCCATTGTATATTTATTCCATTGAGGGAAATGTGATTGACGATTGTGTTGAGTTTTCGTGATATATGCTTATCGACAAGTGCCTTCCCCAGTGTCATAAAAAAGCTTACATTTTGGACTGACAGATTGTACTTCCAAGCAGATGCAATTCAAACAGTCCACACCGCAGACAACAGCAGCACTGCACACACCTGCCCACGGGACGCTGCAGTCACAAAGGCGAGCGGCAGAGGACGCGGTCACTGCAGCGCATAACATCGCCTTCTGCCACCACCCTGCCACCCCCCCCACCCTCCTCCTCCTAACAGCCACTGGGGCATGGAGTTGAGCATGGAGGGTGGCCGAGACCTGGAGCTCACCTACATTACGGAGCGCATCATCTCGCTGTGCGCCCCGACGGGCGGAGACTCGCACGTGGCGTACCACCAGCAGATGCGGGACGTGGCGCGCATGCTGCACTCCAAGCACGCCAATGGCTACCTGGTGAGCCCCCCACACCCCCCCCCCCTCCACATGCAGGCGTGGGTATGGGGTGAGCCCCCCGCTCGTATAAGCCCGGGTATCTAGTGAGCGCCCCCACAAACGCACAGTCGAACGCCCTGCTCGCCTGCTGCGGCGCTGGCCGCTGAGTGCTGGCCGCCGAGTCGGTGGCGTGCGTGTCTAAACTTTAATGACGTGCAGGGAATTATCAGCAGGCACTGAGACGTTTCCAAAAGCACAGTGCGCCGGTGTTTTTTGGACTACTCATCATTCATCATGTGTTTTTCATTCCAGGTTATAAATCTTTCGGAGAGAAGACATGACATAGAGAAGTTCAATGTGCACGTAAGTGTCAACCTGCACCTCCCACTCGCACGTTTTGTTGTTTGTTAAACTTGACCTCGGTTGACCATGTAAATCGTGCTGTTATTGGGGTGGGGGGGAGGGGGTCTACGGTTTTGAGCGGAAAATGAAACAAAGGGTTTTGGCGGTGGAGCGGAGTGGCCGTGCGTGCCCCCCACCCCACGCCCGCACCTCATTGTCCTTCAGCGGCTCCAGGGAGGGGGGCAGGGTGCGCTCCAGCCCTACCGCCGCAAGGAGCTGGGCTTCCGGAGCCCGCGTCCCCGCCGGCCCCGTACTCGCTGTGGTTCCCCTCCCCTACATTGTGTTCTGGTGCGGCGTGAGGGCAATGTGAAGGCGGCGTTGAGAAAGGACCTTTGATTTCACGGTTATGTCTATCCCACAGACACCAGCCACACATGGACTCTTTATTCAAGGTTGTCAGTTCTCTCTGTCGAGGGCTGTCTGTGGCTTTTCATTTTATTAAACGAAAAATGCGTGCAAAACTACTGCGTGGGTTTTCGCTGTTGCACTGTGTCGCGCTGCGATGTGTTTTCGTGTCGTGCCGAATGTTGTTTGGCATGGATGTCCGACGTTTTACTCGACATGCTGGAAGCTTTTTCAGGAACACGAAGCTCCCAACACGAGGAGTGAAACGTATTCCATCAGCCTGAACAACGCACGGCACAACCCGAAACCGCGCCTGAGAACTAAGATGAAAACGCATTCTGTATCCGTGCGGCGTTGACGACAGGGGGAGCGCGGCATGCAGCCGAGCCTGTGGGGCCATCTAAGCTCAAATGTAACTTTTTTAATTTACCAGGTAAGGCCCCGCTGTGCTACACAGCTTGTTTTCAGAAGCAAGCCGGCCAAAAATGATAGCTCGACAAAGTGGCGTATTGTACGGACATTTACAGTAGCCCAAATGCTCTTGTCTCAGGTGAGGGATTTTGGCTGGCCCGATCTCCACGCCCCCCCACTGGACGTGCTGTGCAGCATCTGCAAGGCCATGGACTCCTGGCTGAACGCCGACCCGGCCCACGTCGTGGTCATTCACTGCAAGGCAAGAGAGCAGTCGCCCTCCAGTCACGTACACATACACTCACCGTACGGAATCCCTCCTTACATAGACACGTAGAGAAATAGTAAACATCGTTTACGCTCCTTTATCCATCGACTGCTGGATGAATGCCTCCGCGTGTCATGCCCATTATTTGGGTTTCTTTGACCATACTTCACCGCGCTGGTTAGTCCGGTATGGAGAAAGAGGAGGTCTACGACTGCTACAGATATAACGCGCCACTGATGTTGTTTGTGGCTGGGAATTGAACTCGGATTCCCGTGTTCATAGTGCGCTGCGTTAACCACTGCGCCACAGCTCCGCTCGGATTTATATTACATATCTAAACGGTTATAGAAATATCAAATTAATGCCACGGCTAAAGGCAACTCAGCGCCCCACATGTCAGTGCGTGATAACATATCATATGAATGCATCCTGAAGTGTTACGCGATGCCATTCCGCACGCTCATCTCGCCGTGTAATCGAGTGAGGCGCGGAGAGTGTTCCGCTGTGCTGTACGCGCGGCGCTCCTTGAAGGCGCAGCTCGACGGGGCCGGCGTGCGACGCGTGCCCATGGGGCGGAGAGCGCGCTGACGCTGCTCTGCTGTGGTTTCTTCCTGCAGGGGAACAAGTGCCGCACGGGGGTGGTGGTGGCCTCCTACATGTACTACAACGGCATCTGCGCCAGGTTGGCGCGCGGGCACCCACCCACCCACCCACCGTCCCACCGTGGGCTCACGCGCGGACATCCTTTCATACTTACACAGACGGTCACGCTGAGCGTGGGTGCGCAACGGACACGGTGGGGGACGCGTCTCCTCGCCCTGAGGCTTTGTGTGCCACGGGCATCGTTATGCGATGGGTTTTGTGCGTTAACTCTTTGCAGTGCCAGCCAGGCGCTCGACCGGTACGCGATGAAGAAGTTTTACGACGACAAAGTCGCCAAGCTGTCCCAGCCGTCCCAGAGAAGGTGTGGTGGTGTGTGATAGTGGTGGAGGGGGCGGGGGGGAGAGCACACACGCACGCACTGCCTGAAAAGTGCTCCTGCAAATCATAACAGGGTCCGCAAACACTCCCTCCATGGACTGCTGCGTGGGTGTTCACCATTGTGCTGTACAGCTTCCTGACGTGTTTTTGGGCTGCGCCACACAGCGTGTTGCTCGGCGCGATGTTCTCTATGTAACGCTGCACAACTGTGTGCGTCAGCCTTGAGCACGGACCTTGCTAATCGTCTCCGTATCCTTCCCATTTTTGCAAATGTACCGCCGTAGCGAGTACCATAAAAAGCGTCGAGCGACATGCAACACAACCTGAAACCGCATCGGAGAGCTTAACTGTCATCCCCGAGCTATGCTATATCAGTATTAGCTCCCCCCGGGCCTGCTGGGCACGCACGCTGGAATGCTTAAATGAGTAGATAACATGGTATTGTGAGTTAATGTAATACTGCCCCAGCGGCGGTTACAAGACACGCTCTTGACGGTGAGCGAGGAGGGGTGGATGCTTTCGATGGTCCCTGGCGCTCTCTATTCTCGTGCGGGGGCCCGTGGGACGCAGCGCACGCCGGGACGAGTTGCTTCTCGTTTTTCACTGAGCCAGTGGAGCCAAGGAATGCGTGGAGTGTGCATACCGTCTGTGTGTGGGCCCTCGCGCACGTGCGTGCGTGCGTGCGTCCACCTTTAGCTGCCCTCTCAATTCCTAGGATTGAGCGAAGTTGCCTCAAGCTCGGAGAACCACACCAAAATAAAATCTCAAAATTTCGATTTAAAGCTTTCGTGACTGCAAGGATTCATCTTCTTTGGTTCTTTCGGTAAAGTCACGTAGAATGAGAATAAAATAATAAATTGATAAAATAAAATAACACAATAAAATTCTCACGACGTTTCGGCCACAACACAAGCGTGTAGTGTATACCCAGTTACTGTTAATAGCTCAGCTTATTGAAGAATATATTGAGTACATTTATTATATTGATGTAATTTAGACTTAGGTTTTTTCACATCGGTTTACTATATGATAGTTGAGTTGTTGCAGCCCCTTTGGCGTCCATGTACTAGGTGCCTCTGTAGATGTGTAGGCTTTGACTTTAACATAGCTATTTCTATGACCAGCCACAAGCTAATCCCTCAGTTATTTCAATGCTAAATTCTCCTGTTTGATTTATACTAGGTGCCTCTGTGGATGTGTAGGCTTTGACTTTAACATAGCCATTTCTGTGACCAGTCACAAGCTAATCACTCAGCTATTTCAATGCTAAATTCTCCTGTTTGATTTGTACTAGGTGCCTCTATAGATGTGTAGGCTTTGACTTTAACATAACTATTTCTATGACCAGTCACAAGCTAATCCCTCAGTTAATTCAATGCTAAATTCTCCTGTTTGATTTGTACTAGGTGCCTCTGTGGATGTGTATGCTTTGACTTTAACATAGCCATTTCTGTGACCAGTCACAAGCTAATCACTCAGCTATTTCAATGCTAAATTCTATGCTAATTCCTTTGTCAAGGGGCGTCTCTGTGGATGTGTATGCTTTGACTTTAACATAGCCATTTCTGTGACCAGTCACAAGCTAATCACTCAGCTATTTCAATGCTAAATTCTATGCTAATTCCTTTGTCAAGGCGCTCTGTTTATTCTCACACAGCTTAAAGGTCGCTGTCTGAGCTTGGCTGTGTTCGCTCCAGCGCTGTCCTCCAGACAGTCTCGTCCCTTCACCTGATGAAGGCGGCTTGTGTTGTGGCCGATACGTCGTGAGAATTTTATTGTGTTATTTTATTTTATCAATTTATTATTTTATTCTCATTCTACGTGACTTTACCGAAAGAACCAAAAACATCTCAAAACCCGTGTGAAAATCCCCCAATGTCATATTCAGTAAAGGAATTTACAGTGAAAGCATTTTGTCCACATGAGTGGATTTTAATTTTGAAACAGCCTGCCTGCTTGTGGCATGCAGAGATGTTTTGAGGCGGTTTAATGAATTGTGAATAAAGTAAATGTTTACCCAGCGTGTCCCAGATTCTCTTGCGTCCATGAGGGAATGTGTGCCCTCCCCGCGCAGGTACGTGTCATACTTCAGCGAGCTGCTCTCGGGCCGAGTGAAGGTGAACAACCTGCCACTCTTCCTGCACCACATCGTCATCCACGGGCTGCCCAACTTGGAGGATGATGGCGGTAAGGCACGGGCGCCGCATGGCGACTCCGTCACCTCAAACGACCACCGCCGACGCAGTGAGCGTGCGGCCCGCATCGCCACTACAGTGTGTCCACTCCCTGGTCCTCCTCGGCAGGCTCCTCTTGAGTTGATCAATGAGGAGCGACACGCTGGACGCAGTTCGGCAGAGTGCCACTTTTGCTGACAAACAAAAACCCTGGTTTCGAGCGAAAGGGGCATGCTTAAACTGCACTAACGCGGACATGGGAATGAACTAGAGCGCCCAAACTTAGTGAAATTAACTTGGCTCATCCTTCATTCGCCTAATTGAACGCCCTGACAGCAGCACTCTGGCAATGGCGTGACCTTAGTCCACGGTTATCGTTCATTCCTGCCTCGTGGCCGCATCGGAGCCACGTCACGTGCGTGCGTGCATGCGCGTATCGTGCCTTGCGCTGTTGCCGGCGCTCCGGTGACTCGGAGCGGCTGGCGTTGCTGCGACGCGTGCGGTACATTGTTCCTGATGCAAGGCAATGTCTGTTTGATGCTAAAGGGAAGGAATGTGTTTTTTCTGCGCTAATAGAGTTGCTCGTCCATCTAACGGTATTTGAGGGTGGAGGCGGGGGTAAGGGCGCTCGATTGTATTAGGAGCACTTATTTTCAGAAACGCTGCATCCATCAGCCTCGCATTCCGGCTGGGACTGTTTCCGCATTTCACTTTGCGGATAAAAATCGCGGCACTACGGAGGCGTTTATTCTTTTGTCAGATTATATATTTTAATTGTATACTCAAGGGACTTACGTGTTTTCCGGCACGAAAAATGTTAATTCTCTAAAAGTGGCCTACATCTCCAAATGTTTGTTTTAATGATGAGGGGGGTGCACCCAGGGGGGGGGGCAGAGGGGGCAGGGGGGCACCCTCCCTCTCTCCTCTGACCCTCACTGGGCCTGCTGTGCCAGGCCGCAGAGGCTTGGCCGTGGGACCCGGGGGTTCCTGAACAAACAGAGTATTGTGAATGCTTCCTGTTTACTCCCCAAGGCTGTCGGCCATTTCTCAAGATCTACCAGGCGGCGCAGCCGCTGCACACCTCCGCCGTCTAGTGAGTGCGCGCCGCCACCGCTCCACTGCTCACTGCCACCGCTTGCTTTGTAAACACGTCACGTCAACTGTAATGCCCTCTCACCTGTCTTTCGTACATTCATAGTGTTTGCCAATGATGCCTGTTGCCTCGATGCTGATTTACTTTCACCTCCACCAGTAACATTCCGAACAACTGCAAGAAGCTTTGCATCACGATCGAGCCTGGGCTGCCTCTGAAAGGGGACATCCTGGTACGTTCTCCGCTCTCGCTTGCATCTCACGCTGCACTCTGGAGCGAGGAGGGTGTTGATGACACCTTAATCCCGTGCGGAACTCCCGTGAGAGTTCGTTACTCTTTCAGGGCGTGTGTTTATTTTTTTTTGTTACATTACTTCAGCGCCTAGCGCGAGCTGACTCATGGTGGAAGCCGTTTCTACCCGGAGTGTAACTCCTCCGTGAGATGCGAGCGCACACGCACGGCAGCAATGTTAATGAGCGGCGTTCGTCACAGCGAGGGATCTGGCTGCTCTCCTGGTGCTGCGGGCACGGGGAAGGCACATGCTTCGTGGAGATTCCATCTGGCGGGCCACTGCGCTGGGTTTTCACGCAAAAGAGATTGCGTTGCGATTGTTACATTTTTTTCGCGTAATTTTTTTACACGGAGAAGGGAATATAGTTGAATGACTAACATAAAACTTCTTTTTTTATCGGAGAGAAATTATATCCGGTGCATGAAACGTATTAATGTTCCTGAGAAGCCAATAACTCACGTTTCTAGACCTTATCTGGTTGTTATTTGAGGCCTATCTGAGAGGGGATCAGGCTCCTGGCCGTACGCGGTCCAGCCCACAGCTCGACCCTGTGCTGCTTCTCACGACTCTGCGTGTATGAGTGTGTGTGAGTGAGTGTGTGTATGAATGCCTGTGTGGGTGTGAGTGTGATTGTGCGTGTGAATGCCTGTGTGGGTGTGAGTGAGTGTGTGTATGAATGCCTGTGTGGGTGTGAGTGTGATTGTGCGTGTGAATGCCTGTGTGGGTGTGAGTGTGAGTGTAAATGCCTGTGTGGGTGTGAGTGTGCGTGTGAATGCCTGTGTTGGTGTGTGTTTGAGTTGGCATAGTAGGGGACTAAGGTAGTGCTTCGGCCAGTCATCCCATGGTACCTGGGTTTGTCCCGTGACCTCCTGCCAGCGGGCATTTAACACTTCACGTGGCCTTCAAGTGAACATAGCCTGGCACAAGTGACGTCACCACCACTTAGTGGTGAATGGCGGTTGTTGTTTTTGAGTGTGCTTGTGAACACCTGAGTGTGCGTGTGCTTGAATGTGAATCTAAAGGTAGTGGAATACAACAGTTTTCATGCAGGAGGTTCCAATCAGTTGGGTCTAGTGTGAGCATGTGTAATTGTGGTGCTCTCCTTGTTCAGTTTTTCACACTGATAGCTGCTCCAGCTCTGCGTCCCATTTTATTATCTTGCCCTGCCTTTCAGCCAATCCCCCTGATGGATCAAAGGACTTTTTTCGGCCATGGTATTTGAACAAACAATAATAATAATCAGTAACTTGAAGCACTATGTCAGTCCGTTGCTGGATCAAGGGCTCTTGCATGTATTCTCAGTCATGGCATAGTTTGTTCATAATAAACAATTTTTATTTTACCAGGTCACGCCCCACTGAGCTATATAGCTCTTTTACAGAAATGCCACGCTCACCACTGTGGTTTGGTGAAAAAGGCTTAGAATCAGTTCTGATGAAACGTCATCACTGAAATGATCCCTGGCCAGGAATCAAACTCGGGTTTATAGCACAGCGCATGAACCACTGCACCACGGCTCCCCCTATCGATGTCCAAACGTTCCGTTTGAGCTGTCCCAGCCCATCCCACGTGAATGCTTTATTTACATGAGTCAGTAAACACAAAACAAAAGGATAACACTTAAGCTCGACCAATTTCCCAAAGCTAGTGCCACAGGGCTTCAGTAGCTGTAGGAGCCAAAAGCCACATGTCAGCTGCAAAGTGCCCTTTTTGACCCTCCCCTCCCACCAAA